TAGAGGCTAAGCCCACTAGCTATGGTGAGAAGTATTTGCATGCTCTTATTCTGCCAGAACATCATGACTCCAAGAAGTTTATCCTCTGCTGCTTAAAGGAACTGAAAAACTCTTCCATGTAACATATGGCACCTCCAGTAGCTTTGTATTTAGTATTTCTTCAATACATTTTCAATATATTTAACTTTTACATCCAAATAGAAGTTAATTGAATACTGTCTTTGGGATTTGTGAAATAAAAGTGAACATATTTGATGAATTGTACCTGATCAGATAGAGTGTCTGAATAATTTGGCAAAATGCCAGGAACGTTCATCAGTTATATTTAATAAAAAATTAAAAAAGTCATTCCTACTTCCTACAACTACTAGTTTTATATTTGCTAGTAAGAAGGGGGGGCAAAAATGGAGTAAACTGCTTTTTCCATTACTTCATAGGGCATCCAGCCTTCTGAGTACCAAAAAAGTCAACTTCTCCATTCCTTTGACTCCTGCGTTTGCTATTCTACCCTTCCCTCTGCCTCCACCTGAATTCTTCTTGAGTAATATCTGGTCTGCCTAGAGATTACGTGTGTCCAAAGAATTATATGGACTCAATTTTAAATGTTCAAATGGATCAAAACCAAAAAGGCAAAAATGTAGAAATCCACTTTTCTTCTAAATTCCACAGAAACTTTGAGCAGAAGAACAGGACTATCTACCTGCAGGCTTAACAGCAAATAGTTAAAACTATAAAAACAATATAAGCTAGAAACTTTCTTTTTAATGGAAGTGCAAGTTTAAGCAGAATGGCGATCGATAATCCTGTGGATTTTTTTTTTATTCAAACTAATCATGCAGATTGCTTTCCCTTTGTACTACAGGAACACTAAACTGTAAAATGCCTTTCAAATGGAAAAATGTTTCTATTAGAACCTCCACATACCTGTAAAGTGACTAGAAGAGGTTAGTCTAGTCAAGTGTGTTGCAACACGCAAAGGCAAAGTGCACACGCTTCTGAACTCAGAATTTGCCAGTTAAGTGGAAATGCTGGTTTGCAAGCAAATCCACAGGCAAAATTTACTGATCATGTAAGATGTTTACTACAAAACAAACAAAAAAAACCCAAACTCTGAAAGCTAGTTATTGCCTTTTGCTATGGAAAGCTGGGCAGCTTGGTGTAGACCTTAACATTTAACATTTGTTACAGGCATACTTCTTAAAAACGGCAAAGAAACGAGGCCTCAGGAACCTACACACAAAATCAGTTTGCCTTTTTTTCATTTTATGCTTCACTTACAAAAATACAAGGCTGCTACCTACTTAACTCTTGTGTTTACTACCTCTATGAAAATCAGAACGTGAATGATTTTATATTTCTGTGAACAGCCTGTGCACCAATAATTATCCATTTGAAGGGTAATGCATCCTTTCAATACCACTTGGGCTGCTTCCCAAAGCACGTGCTAAAAAAAAAAAAATCTCATCCAGGCACGCTCAATGGAACAACTCTGCGGTCTGCCCGGGCCAGGAGACAGCATGTGCTGCACCAGGGCCAGACAATCAGACCACCTTGTTAGCTGGCCGGGGGCTCAGAGGTCCTGTCAGTGAGCCCACTGCCCAGGCAGACTCAAGCTCCTCTTGCTGCTGTTCAGCCACCCATGGGCCAAAGGAAGAGGCGGCAGAGGATACAGCATAATGAAGGGTTACAGTCTCCTGAAAAGAGGGCGAAGACCGAGGAGAGGCTGCAGGAAGAGAGAGGTGGAGTAAAGGCACAGGAGTAGGGAAGTAATGTTCCTTTGGACTTGCACTGATAAATGGGACTTCCTAAAAGACGCCTCACTAATTCAAGTCAAACACTTAATCAAAACTTCACAAAGTAGGGCCATTATCCGTAACAAGGCAGACAAGCAGTTCATTAGCCAAATTTTCAGTGTGATGAAAACCAGCTTCAAGCCTTTTCTGTTCACCACGCGCTACAAAGGCACCTAATCACAGGGCATTCTTAATACTAGACTACACAGTCACAGGCTCATCCCTGCAAGATACAGGAAAACGTCAAAATGCCAGAATAACTTTTAGCCTACCCAGTACCCGAAACTCTTGTATTTTTATTCAAGTTAAAAAAAGGACAAAATTAAAATTCCTTCAGTCTATAGAAATCTGCTTGGACCGGAGCACACCTTTGTTTTTTCTGACCTGAACCAAATTGCGAAGCTTTATCCAACTCACAGGCACTGAGCCAGCTTTTTCTCCAAAGAAACTCTTACTCTTCCCTTGGTTCCTGCCCTCCACAGAAATACTCAGCCAGCCATGCACCAAGCTCAGGGGAAAAAAAAAACCAAACAAAACAAAAAAAATAAAACCAACAAAACCCCAAAATAGTCAGTTTTAAACACAGACAGGCTCCTCGATTCACTTTGTCTTGTAACCACACAAGCCATCCTCAATGCAAAGGAAGATGGGTGAGTGAGCGACAAGGCTACTACTTTCCCAGCTCATAACACACCAAAAATTACACACTTGGTACAAGGCCATACCAACTCCCACGGAGGACTGAATCTTTCAAACTAGAAGTAAGCTTTACCGTTCACTGTATCTACTTTTTAACCCCAACTGAAGCTGCACATTTCATGATGAGATGCCCATGCACAAGGATTTCTAGTTCTACAGATTTATTTCATTTTCACAAAATATTTTGAAAAGAGAGTGACAGAAAGCTATACTCACCCCCCCCCCCCCCCCCCAGACGCC